AAGTAGAGCTATGACCCCACACTCAGGTGTGGTGATGTATGAACCAATGCTTCTAACCACCCCCACTGCATTTACTTCTGATCTGTCTCGTTGTAACACCACACACCTCACTATTGTTTTCCTGTATGATTTACTTAAAAGTAAGAGCGTGAGAGCATCAATTATCTTTCAAGATTTTCCCATAAGATGCCCCATTGTTAGGCTTAAATTAGAAATTCTGTTTTTGTCCTTTTTTTCACTAATTTATTTTACCTTTTTACTTTTGAGATTTTATTTTAATTATAACATTTTCCCCTTCCCTTTCTTCTCTCCAATCTCTTCCATATACCCCTTCCTGCTCTCCATCAAATTGGTGGCCTCTTTTTTCACTAATTGTTATTTTATCCATCTACATATTTGCATATGTACAATTATCCCTAAATAAAACCTGTTCCATCCATATAATATTACTTGTATATATGTTTTCAGGGCTGACTGTTTGGCTCTGGACAACCAATGGGTGGTCCTGAGGAGGGACACCTCTTTTGCTCCCAGCTTTACCCAGTTGCCTGTCCTTCTTTGTGTAGAATTGAAGCCTTGTGGGCTTTTTCTTGTGTGCTTTGGCATGTTCTTTGGTATCCTCCTTGTGTAGCTCACATTTGGGCAGCTATGTTGGTGAGATTTTATGGGTGTAGCTTCCTATGTCACTAGACGCACAACCTCATGGCAAACTCCCTGAACCTCTGCCTCTTATGGTCTTTCCACGCCCTTCCACCATGTTCCCTGAGCATTAGGTGCAGGGGTGTTTCATAGGTGGGTCTACAGTGACTCGACTCCACAACTCTCCATATTGACTGGTTGTGGTTTTCTGTAGTGGTCTTTTTCTGTTGCAAAAAGACACATACTTAATGAGGGGATAAGACTACACTTATATGTGCTTGTGAGGTCAAATGTTTATAGGTTATTATTAGGGGTTATTCTGGTTTTGTAAATCAGTGGTTATGGATTCTCCCCCCAATAACCACGGTTTCACTAGCACTGGTTAATTAGGTAGGTCTTCAGTACGGCATGGGATCTTTCTTGTTGTATGGGTCCAATTAGAGGGTAGATGGTTACTACTAAGTAGTGTGTACCCATACTGCACTAGTAGGGTGATGGTTGATGTAGTTCATAGGTGTCATAGTTGGGTGGACTGGTGGTTGCTTCTCTTCTTTGGAAACTTGCATGGTGCCTTCTGATACCATAGAAGCTAGTTTCAGGGAAACATTCATGTTAGTTGCTCAGTTAGCCTTTGGGTCCTGTTTCTGAAGTGCATGGTATCTTCATCAATAGGGAATTACTTTCCACATCTAGGGGGTAACACAGGCAATAGCGACTGATTTTGTATTTGGGATTCTCTTAGCTCTGGCCAACAACTCAAAAGAGGACTTTTCCTGTTGGGTACTGGGGTTTTGTTCAGTAGTTTGTCTTACTCAGTGTTCTATTGCTGTGAAGAGATGTCATTACCACAGCAACTCTTATAAGATGAATTTAACTGGGACTTACTTATTGTTTCAGAGGTTTAATCCATATCATCATGGTGGTCCACAGGCAGACACAGTGCTAGAGCAAATAGCTAACAATTCTGAGTCTAGTTCCACAGGCAGCAGGAAGGTGAGAGAGAGCCAATGGGTGTGGCTTGGGCCCTTGAATCCCTTGAAAGCTCACCTACAGAGACACACTTCCTTCAACAAGGCCATACCTCCTAATCCTTTCAAACAGTACTACTTCCTGGTGACCAACCTTCCAAATCTATGAGCTGATGGAGGTCATTCTTTTTTTCAAATTGCCAAGGTGGGCTTTGGTTCTTAGAGGGAGCACTGTCAGCCTGATGAGAAACGTTCATTAAAATTATATATATATATATATATAATATATATATATTATATATATATATATATATTGAATTACGTGTATTATTTTTAGGTAAATGGTTAATCATATGATATTTTTGTAGCATTTTTAGCCATCTATTTTGTTATTTTACCTCCCTCCTTCTTCCCATTACGTCAGAAATGCTCACTTACCTCCAACTTATATAAAGAGCTGGAAGAGGTAGCAGAGAAGGTAGGTCAGACCACAACAGCTATATGAAGGGTATCCAGGCAACAAAAACACTTGGTGAGCAGAGCTCTTCTTCCCTTGGTAAGCTGGGGATGGTACAGCCAAGGAACTCAGAGCTTCAGATGTAGGAAGCAGCTGAAATTCCCACCGAAGAGAGAGACTTCACTCAGCCTTGAAACCTCAGTACATAGTTTTTGGAGAAACAGTAACAGGTCTCATATCCTGTGAGCAATGGGAAAAGTTAAAACAAAAGCTAAATTAGACAACATGAAAATAACAACATCACTACTTGCTCTCACACTACCTCCAAATCCCTTGCAAAGAGCTAAGAAATTCCAAGACCACTGCTGTGGAAACTCTTCACACTAGCCAAGAAGTATGTCTTGGCCCAATATCTCTGGGGTTCCTGGAAAGCCCTTCACCAGGTCACACTGTAGCAAGAGTGACAGGTGAAGCTTGGAAATCATTACATGGCAGATTTTGTGTCCTAGAACACAAACGTAATAAGGGGAGGGGAAAAAAAAAAAAAAAAAGGAAAGAAAAAAGGCCTTGAGAAAAGTCTGCAAAAAAAAAAAAAAAAAAAAAAAGTGAAATAAAGTCAGTTATGGTTGAATACATTGTAACATATTTTAATTAAAATATGAAATCATTATCAGAAGTTTTTTTAATATATGTTAAACTTAGTCTTTTTTTAAAGGTAAAGAGTGAAAAATGAAGAAGCAGCACTGATAAAAATCAATCAATCAATCATCTATCATCTATCTACAATCTACAATCTATCTATCTATTATCTATCGATCTATCTATTTAAATAAGATTTATTAGAGTGGTTTGCAGGTTGTGTTCTGAATATTCCAACAATGACTGTCTTCTGATTTGTAGTCCAAGCACGTCCAAGCATGATGTCTCCATTGGTCTTCAGCACACTCAGGGATTCCAAAGAAGGCTGTGATAACAGTGAAGGAATGAACATGACAGCCAGCAAGGGTAAAGGCAAGCAAGCCAACAGGAAGAGCTCCCTCCTCCCACATTCTTTACAGAGGCTGCCACCAGAAGCCAGTGCCCAGATTTAAGGTGGAGATTCCCACCTCAAGTGACTCAATCAAGGAAAATCCCTCACAGAGCTTTAGTTCCAGATGTAGTCAAGTTGACAACCAAGACTAGTGGTCACACTATGTAAGTCAAAACACAAAACTCAAAAACATGGACACCAAATAATTTCCCATCAGGCCAAATATCTCTATCCATTTGTTTCTCATTCACTTCTTTAACAAACACTGCTGACTGTCTGAGGGGAAGTGCTGGCTCTGTGGCAAGATCTTGTCTGTGGGTTCATCGATCATTCAACTGGAGTCAATAACTATAATGAAGGCAGAAACGAATGACCATCTCAGCTGAAATACAGGGCGTGGCAGAACTCACAGAAGGCTGGGAACACTCTGATGGCTCTCTCCGAAGCTGAGGTGTTGACTGGAGGAGGAACCAGGAGGCCAGCCTCCTTATTATTCATTTTACAGATGGGAACAGAGGGTTACCCACTCTATAGAGGCCACAGAAAAAATGGGCACTACAGGAGCTAGAACACTGGCTCCCCAACTTCGTGGAAGGAAGTTTAAAGTCCTCATTTCTTCTGGGTGGGATAGACAGCCTAAGAGTCAATCCACTATAGCCATTTGAGGCTCTTCTGTTGTTTTATCTTCCTATCAGAAAGTACTTTGTCTCTGGCCCTCCAAAAACCTAATTACTCTCAGTCTTCTGTTCTTTACCAAAACAAACAAACACACACCACGTACGAGTAGAACTTACTCTCTTATCTTCAATAGTTTTAAGTGGTATTGATTTATGTGTGATTATACACATAGAGATCAGAGGACAGGTTTCTGGAGGCAGGGCATGGCATGGGGATTGAACTTGAGTTATCAGGCTTGGTTCCAGAGTGTCTCTACCCTCTGAACCCTATCTGGCCCTTCTCCATTTTCTGCTACTCTGCTTACAAAGAGCAAATAAATTATAATTTCTCTATGCTTTGGAGGATGAAGCTGGCAACCCAAACTGAATTTGAGGGCTTTAAAGATCTGTCTGGCTCGGCAAAGACACGCGAGTCTGCCGTTTCTCATTGCGTCTTACTCTGACGATTGAATTTTTGTTGGCTAGTTATTAGAATTTAAAAACAACATAGTTCTTAATTCTCACTTTATCAGCAATGATCTGAGAAATGGTTGACTTATTACAATAAAGGCGTTCTTCTGTCTGGTTCGTGGAACGTGTGCCACTTTTACCTTTAAGGACCTGCTAGCAAACGCATGTGAAGAAAACTAAGCGCCTGCTAACAGGATTTAGACTGGAATTAACGCGGATCATGTGTCCATCCTGTTCCAGCTTTAGCGTCCCAAGGTCCTTGTCTTTCAAAGACACGGTTGGAGGCGGCGCCCTAGGGCATCAAAGGTTCTCTGTGGAACCTACGGTAGAACATTTTGTGAGATCCAAAGGCCCGAGTTTCCCCAGTACAGAACCTCGGTACGAGACTGAAACTATTGGCCAATTCATCCCGAGGCACCCGGGGAGGTACAGCACGGGCTGGAACGCGCAGCCAACGGGTCTGTCCTGACGAGCAAGTTTCTGCTTGGGGACGCCTGCGAAGCTCCGCCGCGCCATGGCGTGTCCAGCTGGGCCGAGTCCCTTGGAGGAGTCGGCTGAACCGGGTCTAGAGACCCTGCGCCGTCTACGGCTTCCCGTCGCTCGGGCTCGCCTACCCCGCTCCCAGCCCCAGGCCGGTCCCACCGCCCCGTCCCGGCTCGGCTCGCACCTTTCCGAGCCCCAACCTGCGCCCGGGCGGGGCCCGGAGAGTGACGTCACCGCCAGGGGCGTGGCCGGGGCACCGCAGTGCAGCGCGGAGGGGCGGGGCCTGCGGCGCGTGACCGTGCTGCGGGAGCTTGGCGGCGGGCGGGCCGACGGGCGAGCCGGGTGGCGCGGTCGCCAGGCGCGAGGGCGGGCCGGGCTGCTCCTCCGCCCTCGGGGGGGGGGGCTAGTGCGTGGAGCCGTGCACCTGGCAACGGCGCCGCGTCCCCGCCCGCGCCGCCCTGCACCCCCTGCCGGCGGCCTCGAGCGCTCGCTCGCTCGTTGATGCCGTTCTGGGGGTGACCCGGCGCGGCTCCGCGGTGGCGGGGCGCTAGACGACGCCAGCCCAGCCAGCGACGCGGGAGCGGGACATGCTGGAGCTGCGGCACCGCGGGGGCTGCCCCGGCCCCGGGGGAGCGGGGACACCGCCGCCCCGCGAGGGAGAGGCGGCCGGCGGCGACCACGAAACCGAGAGCACCAGCGACAAAGTGAGTGAGAGAGTGACGGGGCCCGGGCCGCGCCCCTGGAACTGGCGCGCCAAAGGGTCCCGTGTTTCCCCTCGGGCGTGCGTGCGAGTCCCGGGCCGCACTTGAAACTGGCTGCACCTGAGATGCTTCTCCCGACCCCCCACACCCCGCACCCCACACCCCGCCCCGAGTCAGGATGGAACCTGTCACCGCGGGCGGGCGTCTAGTGGCTGCCACCTCTCTTGCCTTGCATTGGTAGGGTGACAAAGTTGGGAGTAAACTTAAGACGGGCACCTTGGTTCTAGGCTGTCATTGGAGCCTGACGCGGACAGGCTGTGGAGCTACTCCAAGCTGCGCTTTCATTCCTCTGTTCTTTTTTTCACCACCACCTCCTAACTCCCCCCTCCCCTACCCTCACCCCTGGGCTGCTAGATTTAGGAGGGTGGAGGCTGCCGTAGTACTCAGGGCAGTTGTCACACCAGTGGTTTTCATCTAACCGGACAGTTCAATTCCAGACTTTTCACCCCCCACCCCCACACTTTTAATAGAATAGATTAACCTTGCTTCATATTTTAAAACACGCAGGTGCCTTGCCACTGTTATAGTTAAAGCTAGACAGAGTCAAGAGCTTAGGTGTGTTTCCTAATAGACTGACGCCAGTGAGAACTTTTGGAGGAAAACAAAATGCAGTTTTATGACCGTGTGCGATAGATTGGGACATTGGGCCAGAGAATACACTTACTGCAAAAGCTTATGTTTACAGAATTCCACTTTGCTGGGGAAACTCAAAACTTTTCGAATCATCCTTAGAATTCTTTTGTGGAAGATCACAGTGTGGTGGTGTTTGCCTGTAGTCCCAGCACTAGGGGGTAGGGAGAGGTGAAGGCTAAGAGATGATTCTCAGCTTTGTAGTAAGCTCAATGCTGGCACCGAGCTCAAACAAAAACAAAAAGGTGACTCTTTAAATTGTCTGGGGATGTCCCAAGGTCAAGTTCATTCCATTTCGGTAATGGAACCTAACTTCCCCATCTCTGCTTGTGCTATTCTGACACCCCTGGCTGCTTGAGTGTTGTCCACAAGCTTATGTTAATGAACTTGATGGAGCTCGAGTTACAAATCTTGCTACCATAACACGGAAGCAATAAATATGATGGTGACTTTAGGACCAAAAGTTTAGACTCAGTGAATTGATAACTTTCTTTCCTATTCTTGATCTCTATGAGGATAGAGTGAGAATATGTGCTAAGGACATATATAGACATATAAGGACATATAAGACAAAATATATTTTCTAGCTATAGAAGGTTGAAGACTGGAAGCAATGGGCTAAGAACAGGCTTCGTGAAAACTGCCTTGGAAACGAGACCAAAAATAGAATTAATTAGGTTGGGATTTTGTTTTAGCATTGGTATCCTTTGGAGTCAAGGAAATACCAACCTCCTCATGTTGACTTCCTTAACTGCAGAAAGCTAACTGGCTTTTATTAAGACAAAACATGTCCTGAAAACTGGAAACAGTGCATCAAATAACCTTTGGATTTATTTACTTACATTTTAAAACACCACAATGCATTTAAAATAGGAAGGACTTTGGTGTCATTTGACTCAGTGGAATCCTTATCCCCACCCCTACTTGTTTACCCCACTGGCCTGTGTGTTTATTTATAAATGCTGTGTTGTTAGCTATCATTGATACATACTTTGGTAGATAAAATGCATCCATCTGTAACTTGTTTCGTCATGATTTCTTAGACGAGGGTGAGCTTGTTCAAACTGTGCTGAGATATTCCTGTACTTCTAGAGTGCCCTCTCTAGGCGCCCTTGACTTGCCAGGCATTGAAGCCTTGAGCTGTATCCTCGGTCTGTCCTTCCTTATCTGGGTGTGTGTTTGAACACACCTATATTTCCAGGTCAAGGGCTATTTTTAAATGAGTTGCCTGTTGGAAGCTGGTTAATATTTGGTCTGTAGAAACTCTTTAAGTGCTATTATTTACTGCTCAAGAGCCAGTAAAGAAGGAAAAAAAAATACCTTTGAAATTAATTTAAGAAGTGGAGGAGGTGCTTTGCATCCTGCTATTAAATTACACTCCCTGCTGTGCTGTTTGGTAGCCTTTATAATGGTATTGTTAGTGTGACATTTTCATTGTTCAGGACCCTGAGACTTAAGCCCAGAGAAGGCTCTGTGTTCCATAGAATTAACATGAGAAAAAAGTGCTTTTTTATCACCAGGGAAATGTTCCAGGAGATGGTGGAGTAGTACCTGACCAAGTACTCTCTCAGCCCAGTTCCAACCCTAAATCAAGCCTTGTGTGGCTTAGATTCAGTAGACAGTGTGAAGGCCTAGGTAGCATTTGGAGGGCCTGAATGAACTCTGCTTGGAGACTGGAGAACTGTCAAGAGTACCTGAGGTTGAAGTAGGAAGTAAAGATGCCTGGGAATTCAGTCAAGTGGACAGGGTTAGGACAAGGTGAGTTAGGACAGTGGTTAGGGCAGGAATAGAACAGGGTTAGGACAGGAAAGGGGTTAGGACAGGGGTTAGTGCAGGGTTAGGGCAGGGGTTAGGGTTAGGACAGGGTTAGGGCAGGGGTTAGGACAGGGTGTTCTAGGCAAAGGACATGCAGAACTGCTTCATTCAGCGTTCTAGGGACAGAACACAGAAATGAGTTTAGAAATCCCAGAGCCTGCCTCTGTTTGGGAGGTGGGGTTGAGCACTGGAGAGCCTTATAGCCTTTGATGTTCCTCTTTATTCACAGATTCTGGGAAGCTACTGGTCTTGGCTTTGCTGTTGTTTTGGATATTGGTTTCCTTTGACTGTAATGTTTTCCTGTGTAGTCCCAGCTGAGCTGGAACCCACCATCCTTCTGTCTTTGACTCCCCTGTGCTGTGCTGGGGTTGTGGGTTGCATGTGTATCACCACACCTAGCTTTCCACTGGAAACCTCTGCAGTGACACTCTTAGCTCAAGAGCCATGGTCTGAAAAGTGCTGGAAGGGGGGAAATCCTGATAAGGAGGGGAATTGATAGGCTAAAAGTCAGTCTGGGGAGATGGTGTCCTACAGTGGAGAGAAGGCATATACCTTTCAAAAGATGGTGGTGGGACCATGTCTAGGGTGCTCATGGCAGGACTAGTGAGAGTGTCCATGTTAGAGAAGAGTTAGGGATGTAAGGAGTAACCACGATAAAGAACCCTGGGGCTAGAAGAGAATAGAAGAGGAGGGGTTGCTTGGAAGGTGTCCTCAGTAGCACTATAGACTACAGGCTGAGACACACAAGAGTTTAGCCAAAGATCTTAGTGGAAGTGAGGGGAGCACACTTGCTGTTGTTGTTGGGAAGTGGCAGTGTTTGGGTGTTAAGATAGGAGGACAGTCCCCTCAAGGCTCAGGGAGCTGTGCAGAGGAGGAGGTGGAAAGATTGTAAGAGCCAGAGGTGACAGATGACTCACGACAGGACTGATACACAGATGAACTCATTACAGAGCCTGCATAGGCCCAGGCAGGTGGAGTCCCAGCACTAAGAGAGGGGACGTGGACATGGGCTCCTACCCTAACCAAGAAGCTACATGCCACTGATACCTACTTGCAAAGGGAAGATCAGTTTTCTCCAATAGATTGTCCCTGGCTATATCAACCTTATCCCAGGGCTGGCCCAACACAAAGTGAACTCAGTGGTATATCTTGTTTCGTTTGCTTTTTTTGTTTTTAGAGAAAGGGAAAGAACATAAAGTTGGGTGGATAGGGAGGTGGGAAAGATCTGGGAGGAGTGGAGGGAGGGGAAACGTGATCAAAATATATTGTATGAATTTTTTTTTATTAACGAAAAAGAGGATGAGGGAAGATGTTCTTTTTTCAGTGGAGGGGAGAAGTTGGCAGGAGGTGAGGGGCTGACATGGATGGGTAGGCCTAAGCACTAGGCAGGAATGAGAGGAGAGTACAGGGGAGTCTACATATATGCCAGGAAAGGGGAAAAAAAGCAGAAAGAGAGGGTAGATCTAGAGCCATTTGAAAAGCAAAAGAGGGAAGATCTGGGTGTTTACCGTGGGCCCTCCACTTTCTCAGTCCAAAAGGGCCTTAGAACCGGTGAGCACTAAGGAATCTAAGAAACACATTAGCTTAAGCTAACACACTGGTAGTGTCATTTTTAAGGCTCTGGATGTTTAATGACCAGGGGGCAGCTAGTAGATCCATCAAAGCCAGTGCAGACTGTTTCACACCAAACCCGCACAGTTCCTAAGTTAGCCAAAAGTCACAGTGTTTGATGTTTGTAAGGAGGCCTAACTGAGTTCAGGGTCTGTCCCACCTTTTTTTTTTTTTTTTTTTTGACATGTTCCTCACACTGCTTTGGGAGTAGTAGCTGAGGGGAAAAGCAGTCAGCACTTCCTCAGTGGGAAGAACAGATGTGACAGAAACTGAGAACTGAGTTAAGGCATGCCTGTCAATGTAACTAACATAATACAACTGTGTGGCATTGGGCAAACAGCCGGAAGGGACTTAGAGGAAGGTCCGAGTCTCTGAACCGAATGCACTGCCCGTTAGTACTTCCTGTGGAACAGCTAGTGTGTCTGTCTTTCAGAAGTTCCCTCTCTGGGCCTCAGAGAAACCGGGCCTTCCTGAGCAAGTGCCTTCAGGAATATAAGCTATGCCACTAAAGTCAGTTCTGAAGTTACCCATATGCGAGGGTTGATACTAAAGTCTTTCTTATATTTGGGATTTCTAAAGAATGACCTGGTGTTACTGCATGAAGTTTTACATTTTGAGTCTTGACTGTAAGCAGTTCATCTTATTATTTTGAGAGATGGCCCATGGAATATTACCAGCTGTCTATAACAATCTATTCCACTAGAGTGGGCTTTCTGATGCAAGCAATCACTATTTCATGCATGTCATAAATGTACCAGGGGAAGGTGGAGCATTTTTCCTTTAAATTTTTTTCCTGTACACTTTAGAGGCCTTTTATTTTTGTATACCTGTTACTCACAGGGGACTTTTATTTTTGCATATCTGTTACTCACAGGGGATGGTCTCCA